CACCGTCGATATATAACGGATTCCTAAGAATGAATTATTTTTCGTACTCAATAAAAAAAAAAAAAAAAAAAAAAAAAAAAAAAAAAAAAAAAAAAAAAAAAAAAAATAAAAAATCGTCGGGCAAGTAGTTTTTACTCTCGATTATATGGATTTAGTAGTGTTAAAACATCGAGATTTAAAAACATTATCTCTAATTTAAAAACATGACCTTTTTTAAACGTGGATTTCAATGGTAAAACTTCAACATCCGCACCTGACTTCGAGCCATTTTACAACTTCCCACAAATGTTTTGGTTATTTTATGGAAGTCTTGTCGGAATATCGCACTCCTGTATTACAAAATGAATTCAATTTAGTCTTTTGGAGGCAAAATAAAACTCTAGAGAAAGTACAGGCTGGTTCTGGGAAAATATAACGATGGTTAAAGTACAAAACCACGTATATCCGTTTCCAGCGTTGTAGACTTCCTGTCATACTTTTTTTTTCTGCTGAGAACTAGTCGACGTAATATCTGGAGAACTTCCTTCATTTTTCTTCGCTCTTGCTTAGCAAAATATTTTGTTTCAATTTTAAGCTATGAAGTTGGATTGTTTCTCATCAAAACATAATACAACAAGAGCGGGACTTTTGAAATACCGCCATGGAGATGTGTGGTTTCGTAATTTGGCCATCGATATGCAGGGCCGGATTTACCTACTTGCCACCCATGGGCCGTTTGTATTTTGCCGCCCCCTTCTCATTCGTTTTGAAATACCAATAAAAACCATCAAGTAAGCGTGCCAGCGGGGGAGGGGTGCATAAGAATCGTTTACTCGTGTTGGACATATTTTTTGGGAAAGCCCTGTTAACACTATTAGCAAAAGTTCACGGAACTTTGCGCGGAAGTTCCGTGAACCTATCTCTGTGTGGACTAAGCCTTCCATTTATAAGAAAAAAACGAAAAAACTATGAAAGAACAAACATAAATGTGGCATTATAAGTTTAACGTCCGCCACCACGACCGCGCCACGTTGACCGTGCTGTGTTTGGCGCAATGCGTGAAGTATTCATGCAATCTTGTAGGCGCTATGCGCTTCACGCCGCGGCGCCGACCGCTGTGGACCGCACTGTGTTTGACGCGATGCGTGAAGTATTCATGCAGTCTTGTAGGCGCTAATATGTATTACTTGCCGACCGCTGGCTGCCGAGGGTTTCTGCTTTTCATCTCAAGTCCTCGTCATCATTGCTCTCTGCGATGCTTGGTTTTTCCCTGAACTGGCCTAATTAAAAGTTCGGTCTCTTGTATCACTGCGAGACGACAAAATTAGAAATTACTTCACTCTCAAGAAATGAGAGATTTTGTCGCCTTTTCTCGTTTGTGATTTTTTTTTTTGAGTCCAATTTTTTTTTATACACCTACATTTAAGAAAATTGCAAAATTTGCCGCCATGGGCCGCGTACCATGTGGCCACCGCCTAAAACCGGCCCTGGATGCAACCGACCTATTAAAAGTCATTTGATTTCCAGACTTCAACATTTTCAAAAAACAAGACGCTCGCTCAAGGTCGTTGATAATTTGAAAACTGTAGCATCTTGGGAGTCGAAACGGGATAAAATATAAAACAGTAATCTGTCCCCGCAACGGCTGCGATTCACTGCACAGGTTAGCGGCATTGCCATAACGTTCGAGAAAACATTTTATCTTGGGCTGAATCATCGGCATTCACTCCGAAACAGAAGACCATTTTACAAGCATGCTCGTTCAAGATAGCTCAGTGCTGTTAAGCTGTGCAGCGATTCGACGAAATTCCGTTTGATAAATGAGCTTTTTGTGTCTGAAATGGCAACAGCGTAAGCGTGCCAGCAGGGGAGGGGTGCATAAGAATCGTTTACTCGTGTTGGACATATTTTTTGGGAAAGCCCTGTTAACACTACTAGCAAAAGTTCACGGAACTTTGCGCGGAAGTTCCGTAAACCTATCTCTGTGTGGACAAGGCCTTCCATTCATAAGAAATGAACGAATAAATTATTAAAGAACAAACATAGATGTAGTTTAATGATTTTAACTTCCGCCGACGCGCCGCGCAGACTGCACTGTGTTTGACGCAATGCGTGAAGTATCCATGCATTCTTGTAGGCGCTATCCGTTTCACGCTGACTGCAGTGACCGCACTGTGTTTGATGCAAGGCGTGAAGTATTCGTGCAGTCTTGTAGGCGCTATTATGTGTTACATGCCGACCGCCGCGCCGAGGGCTTCTCCTTTTCATCTCAAGTCCTCGTCATCATTTCTTTCTAAGTCGCGCCGTTCCAGGCCAAATTGCGTGTTTGGTTTCTCTCTTAACTCGATTAATGAAAGGTGCTGTCTCTTTTATCACTAAAAGACAACAAAATTAGAAATTACTATACTCTCAGGAAATGAGAGATTTTGTCGCTTTTTCTCGTTTGTAATTTTTTTTCAAAATTCGATTTTTTTTTTAAAAAAATTGCAAAATTTGCTTGCCCTTGATTTGCCGCCATGGGCCGCGGCCCATGTGGCCACCCCCTTAATCTGGCCATGTAGATATGTATCCATTTGAAAAATACGAAAATAGAATCGCAAAATAGGTTCGACATAGATAGATCTGTGAGGTTGGTTTCGATTTAAGATTACAGCAAACAATAGGAAAAACATAAAATAGGTAATTGATGAACTAGCGCGGATAGATGTAAGTATGTCAGTCGGCCAGAATCTTGAAACTCCATCGAAGCTCGATATAAAAGCAGCCCTCCATTTCATTACAAAGTAACCTTTATTCATTTACCAAAGCTCGCTGTAGTGTTCATTGTCTATGCCGTAGAATATTTATCGAAGCCACATATTTTACGCGAACTAAAGCTATCATATTTTATACATGCGAGGTTCACCGCAACAAGGTCTGCAGTTTAGGGCAAGAACGGTCCCAGGTTGATACTTGAGTTTCGCGGAAGCAGCATGACACGGTGTAGGATAGAGCTCGCCGATTTACTTGGAGACGTTATTTTATCCGAACGGAAGCGTTTATCACGCCGCACAGTGGGGCTGAACTTTAAAAGCTTTTGTGTACCGAGCTTAATCAGCACACGCAAAAAAACGCATTGCCTTTGGCCCTACAATTGTTTCTTGAAATTTCACGTCTACGTTATCTATGTCGATTGTACAGGTACCTTTGCGACGCGTATAGAACTGGGAAAAATGAGAGGAGACAATAATGACACATCGGGAAATTGCACAATTTAACATAAAATGTGATAACAATCGGCCAACTGATTATTGATGCATTCAGGTTCTATGATGTGCCATTTTGTCTGTCTTTTTCTTTCACCAGTTCCAAGAGGACGTAACAAGTGGTACAGCTAGTGGAACTAATGACATTGATACCCTATTTGTGTGGCTTTGCGAAGCAGATCAAGTCATGTTGCATGGCAAAAGATCATACGCAATGTGTGAGAGACAACGCGCTTTTTAAGAGCAAGGACGCACCAAGTCACGTCAAGTTTGAGCAGAGAAAATGGAGTTAGAAGTTTTATTCCTCGAAATGACTCTATGTTATGAACAACGTTCAAGGATTCTTTTTTCATATATTTAAAATATGCTCTCTCGACTTTCAATCGATAGAAGAAATGTTACAACTAATTAAATCAAAAACTACTCCCAACTATTTTTTCTTTTTTCGCCAGAATTCGATTCGGTGTCAGTGGCGACTATGCAAGTTGGCAACATTGTTTTTCCTGCATTTAAATACATTAAAAATATCAATTTTAGTTGAGACAAGCAACCTCACTAAGAATCGAGTGTTTTACATACATTTAATTGTAGGACAAACAGAGCTGCCAACTTTCAAGAATCGCCACTGCTTGGTACATTTCTATTAAGCTCGGTCCATACGTATCTTCATTTGAAAGTAGTTTCATTGGTTTCCTCGTTGAAATATACTCTGCAAAGTTCTAAAATGGAAGAATAAACATCAAAATTTACACATCTAGTTAAAAATGTTATGTCCAACCTCTCCCACGGATTATTTTCATTGTGCGCCGAGGATCTCGGTCCGAACACCTTGGGCTCTTGGGTTGCCCATAAACGACCCCGTAAATTTATGACCACCCTTATCTTCTGCATACTGCACAACTTGGTCGCGTCAAATTGTATCAGAAGTCGGCGAGTTGATTGTCCATTTTGCAGCTTCTGCTTATACCCTCAGGCACTACTTGTGTAGGTGGCTGAGTCGATTAACAGCATTTCAAGAGGAGTATAAAAGAGGATGATTAAATGTATTCTATCTCGCACTAACCTCTCACACCTCAACTCCGTGTTCGATCGTCCTTTTTTGCAGGTTTTCCTTACATCCTCAGACAATACGTCTGTAGATAGCTGTGTCTAAAAGAACTTAAAGAGCAATACGAGAGAGAAATTTTCGATACATAAATACATGTTACTTACCAATCACTTACTTCTCAACCCTCTTGCCCCTCACGTTTGTAGCATTTCTATGTGCAAATTTTATTCAATCACTGGTATCCGGGATCCGCACAAACGTTCTCTTGAAAGAAGTTGAATTACACAGTCAAATTTGGAAATGGCTGATGTAACTTGGTTCCTTTCTGCTAAACGCGGTCCATATCATCAAGCCAGCTCACTTTCAAACTTTATCAGGTAATCCATTGTACATCCCGGCTACAGCTCGAGATTCTGGTATCTGACCAAAGTCCCCCACACAATGGATCGAGTCAATTAAAAAGGTCGGATTTGACATTTTTTACACAAACTGCGAATTTTGATGTATATTCCGTCACATTTTAAAGTTCAAGGGGTGCTTCTAGTAGAAAATTTCACGAAGAATCCAATGGAACTACTCTTAGAACCTTAACGTTTTGTGTAAATGGAGTTATCAGCGTTTAAAGTATCCAAATTTTGTCCGACCTCGCCCATTGACTCGATTCACTGTACCCCATTGATATCCATGTTTCCATACTTGATTTTGATGGTAGATCCGTTGTGTTGCAGGTTCGTGGGAGCTCGGGTGGCTGTTATGCGACATATGGATCTCTCTGGACGTGTGCCTGTGCACGGCCTCGATCCTCAGCCTTTGCGCGATTTCGGTGGACCGCTATTTCGCCGTCACCGAGCCACTCAACTACTCTCGGAGACGCCGCTCTAAGCGTCTCGCCGCCTGCATGATCCTCATCGTTTGGCTCATGGCCTTCACCATCACCTGTCCTCCTATATTTGGATGGTGAGTACTTTCTACTTTTTACTGCACTGGAAAAAAAACACATTGGATCTAGAGTCCGGACTCTTGAAAACATTGGCAAGAAAAAATACTCTTGATTCAATCAGATTTAAGCTTAAATCCAAAGGGAAATCCGCTCAAATTAAGAAGGCTTGGAAGGCTTGGCTATCAACATCAAAAATCAGCCTGTCGGTTGCCTTTAACAGAAATCTGATGCGAGAACTATTAAGATGACGTTTCAATGGGTGCTATGGGAAATTTTTCTCCATTTATTCTCTATGTTAGCAACGATCATTGGAAAAAAAACACATTGGATCTAGAGTCCAGACTCTTGAAAACATTGGCAAGAAAAAATACTCTTGATTCAATCGGATTTTTGATTGAATTAAAACGAAATCCGCTTAAATTAAGAGGCTTGGTTCTTGATTTAAGCTTAAATCTGATTGAATCAAGAGTATTTTTTCTTGGCGATGTTTTTAAGAGTCTGGACTCTAGATCCAATGTGCTTTTTTTTCCAGTGTACGTATCGATGGCCAAAGTGCGAAACCACGTATCTCTATTGCGGTGTTTCAAAATTTCCGCTCCAATTTTATCTTTTTGAAGAGGAGCAAGTCAACTTTATAGCTTGAAACTCAAACAAAATATTCTTCTGGCAAAGAAGAACAATCAAGGAGGTTCTCAAAAAATTAGGATGACTAGTTTGATTACTAGTTACGATGACTAGTTTTCCTGAGAAAAAACAATCATGAAAGCTCTAATATGTTCATATTGGATATTGTCTACGTAGGCGTGATTTCAAGTTCCCAAATGAGATGAGGTCGTTGGACAGAGGCCTCATTCCTTTGAATCGAAAAGTGCCAAATGAACTTATTGGTTTGTAAAACCAAGATTTTTTTCCGGGAGGTGGAAACTTCAATTTTTGAGGATTCGACATTCTCTCATGGGCAATGCATGTATCCGGCGAGCATATATTTGTGATCGCAACAAGTTTACTAAACTTCAGCTTGTCTATATAATTAATAGCACAACATAAGCGAATTTTAACTCAAGTTCCAATCTCCTCGGGAAGTTCTGTCTGGTTTTGGCTCATCAATCATCAACACTGCACTGCTAACAAAAAAATCCGCCCTATCAGATACCTGGCGGTTTTCGACAGAGACTACCTTTTTCAGGACTACTTCAAAGTGGTAGCAAAATCACCATTTTGGCATTTTGCTTTCTCACCTTAAAATGAATCTCTTTATAAAGCTACAGCAATGGAACTCAGCTGTTCATTGAGTGTGCGTGTACACTTCATCGTTAGCTCCGAGAGTTGCAAAAGTTTCCGTGTGACGTAACTCGTGCAGACATCCAAATACTCCGTCAAATTCAAAGTCACAAAGAGACATTCCTCTTTTTGAGTGTCAATTAGCTTCTCCAAACTTTGTGCATCGAAATACGGGCTTTTGGATGCAAAGCTCCGAATAATTAGTCGTTATGAAGCGGAAAAATAGGGCCACCCCCATACGGGCAACCCTTGAGTTTCGTTTTGTATCGTCGCGTCGTTCGAAGCTGAAAGGAGAAGACAATAGTGACAGCTTGAAACTTACGACAAGAGCTGTCACGCATTCGGGTCAAAAGAAAGATGTTCTCATTAATTAGTTATCCATTGTTTTCCTCCCTGATCCAAATTAGGACCAAAAGTGAAGCTTTAATTAGAGTGTGTATTTACATTCTTAAACTTCAATGTTCCAAAAAAAAAAAAAAATAAAAAATTATGTAGTATACTGTCGTTTTCTTCGCTAGGGAACGTAACTTCATTTCAATGTTGCCAAATTTTCGCTCGCACGTTGACTTTTTACGAACAGAACTTGAGCTTTTTAAACTGAAAATTTCCCTTATTTTTCGTCTAATTGCACACAAAAATCAGAGACATTTTGGATGAAAATTACACCGATACATTATAATGAAATAACAAATTAAATTGTTTGAATCAATTTTGCAACCTTGGAATAGGGTCACGTCCCTTTGTTCGGAGAACGACGAGATGAGTATTGGAAAAAAATTGATTGATTCAAAAAGAGAAAGTTAATAATTTTGCAATCAAAAATCAAGTCATTTTTCATTATTGCTCGTTCAGTGTTTATCAGTTTATTCTATCCGAATGGGCAGAGTGAGATGCGTAATTTAAACGAGAGGAAAATTAATGGTCTCATCAATAGGGTGGTCATGGTCCACAGAAATTTCATGGTAAAATTATCTGCTCAGCATGAAATATGTGCGTTCACATCATATGTTTAAAGCATAATACATTCCAATGAAAATCGGTGCAATTACTTGTTGTCAAACTGTGCAACCGGGTGACCTCGTTATTTTCAATGAGACAGACAGCAGTGAATGGACATTATCCTGCAAGAGGGCCGATTATTGAAATTATTAGACAAATCAATAGACAAAGAATACGAAGAGCAAATGGAGCCATCCCATTAGTTGAAATGGGTGGTTGTTACAGACTTAGGGGAAAAATGATAGACTAACTTTATGGTCTCTCGTGAGTTTTTGTCAGTTTCTATCGCTTACCTCGTTTGTTCAGTGTGACCAGCAACGTGAATGTTGAAATTGGCGTGTAAAGCTATAGAAAAAAGAGGACAAAAGAGACATGGAGGGATCCTATTTGTAGAAACGGGTGTTTGCAATGGACAAAGGAGGTAGGTAATAGACTAACTAACTGCAATCCACGAGAGACTTCTACAGTTATTCCATCATTTTCTCCTTTAGTCTATAATAACCACCAATTTCAACCATATAGGTTGCTTTACACTCCTCATGTCTTTTTTGTCTGTGACTTTGTCTATCAATATCAACAATCAGCCGGCAGAACCGCTCCATTATCTTTGTCTTTGTCTATAACTTTGTCGATAAATTTCAATAATCAGCCCGCAGAGAGCAGTACTGCCGTGCTAAGGAAGAACGTCGTATGAACATCCGAGAGTTGCCAAATTTCCTTCGATAAAATGTTTATATTTGAGGAAAATTGTGAATATTTTGCCTTGAAATTTTCAGGAACTTTATGTGAAATTACTAACAAAATTACCTGACAAATTGGAAGAAAAATATTCATAAGTTTACCAGGAGATTCTTGTTGTATCAAAGAAAATTTGGCAACGCCTGAGGACTCATACGGCGTTTTTCCTTAGCACGGCAGAGTATGTCCTATTATCATTTTTCTGCCAACATCTATTCGTTGGGCGTCTTGCAACAGTTAAAAGGATCAATTCCAAGTAAGTGCGGAAAAGACGAACAGTGAATATACACTGCATAAAGTTATCTAACATCTAATAACCGTACCCCATTATTTTTCCCATCGAAGGGGTTGTTACACTGAATACTCTTGCGAGGTGCGGTGCTCTCCAACTCGCATTCTCGTGTAAATTGCGCCAGCCTCGAACCGAACCGCCTACTCCATTTCACATTCGGACTTATTTCTGCCAAACGGAACTATGTGCATTAAAACATGAGCCCTGAGACCCATAAGAATATACGCATAACAGGGCTCACGTCATAATGCACGTAGTCCTGTTTGGCAGAAATACTTCCGTTTCCGTTAATAGATCGAGTCGGCTTATTCGGTGGCGCGTCGAACGAGAAAATTTATGAAAATATCTATTTTCCTATCACTCACTCTCACTTGCCCTTTGACGTCTCGACCTCCATTCAACCCCGAGCGACTCTCCCTGGTAAAAGATGATGCCAAGTTTGGGAAATTGCTTTTTCGGGCTCAAGGAAGATTGGTTTTCCTCGATATGATGCAAATTATTCGAATAGGGGTGATTTTATAATAGTTATGCATTGACTTAAGTAGTCACCTCCCGGCCACGTCCTTTATATCTTGAAATTTGTTTTTGTTACTCTCGCGGACGTAGTAATCCATTATTTTACAATTGTTTTACGGAAGTTCCAGTTTCAGTTCGGGCAAACTCGTGTGAACAGCCTCCCTTGTTTCAAGGAACAATTTTCGGGAAACTTACAGGTTCGTCGAATAAGTTCCTCGAAGCGCGCTCGTGTGGACAGGGCCGAAGAAAGATATTACCAACTTTTCTTTGAAAAAATGTTCAACTGCACTGAAAAAAAATTCTCGGCGTTTTTACCACGGTCCGTTGGTACCTTTACCATCTCACTTTTTTTTACCAATTATTGGTAATTTTACCAAGACAGACTGGTAAGCTTACCTAAAAACCGGTATTTTTACTGTTTTTCCAGGTAAGAATACCACTTTTATAGGTAATCGATTCCCTGTAATTTTGCCATTTTATTTCGGTAATTCTACCACAGTCGATAAAAATATTGGCGTTTTTACCATGGTCCAGTAAAATTACCGAGAAAGTTCAATAATTACCAATTCCATAAATGGTAACTTTACCAAGAAAAAGCTGGGATCATATATAACCCTGAATTCTTGGTAATTTTACCCTTTATTAGTGAATACACCGAGATTTTCTTTTTTCAGTGTGACAAATGAAAATTTGGCAAAGCCGAAAGGCACCTACGCCGTTCTTTTTTAAACCGGCAGAGTTAACGTAACACTGTCGAGACCTAAGCCTAGCACAACATGGCAATATAACAACGACCGTGCGCGTGCCTGTGTGATTCAGGGCGAGGCGCCGGGTTGAAAGGGTGTCGACAGCGAAAGGGCGCGAAGCGTGGAGTCGGTGCCCTCGTCACCCCTTCGTTCCCCCGTGTAGGCAAACTGCTTAACCCGCACCTGGAAATCTCTTAACATACACAAATACAGACACCCATACGGTGCGGATAACGGGGAGGCGGGAGGCGGTGGAAAGGGGGTGGAAGTTTTCCATCCCTTAAGGTAACGGTGCCTGGGCCCGTATCAGATCTCAGATCTGGCCCATTTATTGGGCCGGAAGCAGATGGAGAGCAGGTTGAAACTTCCGACGGATGAGTGGGCCTGTCGTGGAAGGTGGGAGATCCGCGTCGAGTTTGCGTCGGAATCGCACGTCTTATCGTCG